ACACACACAGACACACACACACAGACACACACAGACACACACAGAGACACACAGACACGGAAGAGAAGCCGAGAGGGCGCGACACACGCACACACTCAGTCTTGTACCCGGTGAGCAGGAAGAGGTTCGGGCGGTTCGGAGAAGATGCCGCGGGTTGTTCCGGACCAGAGGAACAAGTTTGAGAACGAGGAGTTTTTCCGCAAGTTGAGCCGAGAGTGTGAGGTGAGGGTTCGGCTCCAGGGACGGAAATAAGAGCAGCTCGGAACCGGCGGGGAGGAGGGAAACAAAAACTCCGCTTTTATCCAGTTTTTACTCCAGAACCGGGATTAACTGGGTCAAAAATCTGATGGAATTTCTAATCTTTCAGATTAAGGAAACATTATGAAGTCTTTTCATTCAGATTTGTCTTTTTTCTTTGTCTCTCTGCGGTGTTTGTTTTTATTTTTCACAACTTTTGTCTTTTTATATTCCTGTTTTAATCCTGAACACGTCTTATAATAAAATATGTAAAATAACAGTAAACAGTTTGTGATTTAAATCTACATTTTAATGGTTTAAATGAGAATTGTTGTGTTTTTCAGCCAGATCAGAGTCTTAAACCATCTGTGTGAAATGTTTTGTTCCGGGTTGATTTATTTGGATTAAATGAAATATTTTCAGATTAAGTACACCGGCTTCAGGGACCGGCCCCATGAGGAGAGACAAGCCCGCTTCCAGAACGCCTGCAGGGACGGCCGCTCAGAAGTTGTGAGTCACTTTTTGATTCTTTGTCCTTTTTTAAAACAGAACAACAGGAAGGATGTGGTTCAGATCACGTGACTGTCGAAGCGCAGACCCCAAACAGACTTTAAAGCTCCAGGATTCACGCGGATCACCCGCCGCTTTCTGCTCTTCTGTTTGTCATCAAACCTCAGAATAAAACGGGATTTAATGCAAATATCGCGAGATGTCAGGCTCAGACTGTGTGTTGTGGATGACTCTCAGCCACCTCCACCTAAAGTCAACATACTGCCAGATTTCTTTCAATACTGATACCAAGTAAAATGTGTCTGGTACCGGCGATACTGATCCAATACTGATACTTTGTGATAACACACATCTTAAAAATTAGTGTTCTTCAAATAAATAATACATAATTTAAAAGTCTTTCTAACCCTAACCCTATATTTGTTTAGCACAATTTAAAATTCTTATTCTAAAGAAATATAATAATTTTTAAATAGTGAATAAAAGTGAAAAAATATTCTAAAAGTTGTTACTTTGTGTATTTTGTAGCATTGTTTGTGAGTTTGCAAGAAGGTCCCTGACCAGAGCTAATGTTGTTTGTGGGACATGGCATGAAAACGTTTAGGAACCATTACAGTCATTGAGACGAAGCAGATTTTATGTTAAAATGACCTGCCGTACATCTTACAGACTGACTGAACTCATGCCACTGTGTGATGCATTACTCAAGTGGAAGAAAAAGTAGTTCCCTCCAACCACATGTGATTTAGACAAGATTTGAATAGTTTAGTTATTTTCCACTATTTTCCTGTTAATGATCAACATTACGTGAAATAATTGAAGAATCAAAGTATCGATATTTTGATTTTAGTATAGATTCTAGAACATAAAGTTCTGGTATCGGCGGTATCGATATTTCAGTATCGATCTGCACATACTTGGAATCATTTCTGTGTTCACGTTGGCCGTGGCGGCCATCTTGGATAAGTTTATTTAATTGATCCAGTGGTTCAGATTTAACAAACACCGACTGAAAAAAGTAATAATTCATGTTTCTGTGTCTGCTCCAGGAAGTAGACAGTATCTGACCTGCAGCTGCACTCCTCATCCTGTCAGGGGCCACACAGGGGGCCACACAGGGGCCACACAGGGGCCACACAGGGGCCACACAGGGGCCACACAGGGGCCAGCATTTAGTCGTTAAAACTCCCACAGACAGGAGGAGTCACAGACAGGAGGAGTCACAGACAGGAGGAGTCACAGACGACAGGAGTTCAGATCAGAAACAGGTTTTCATCACTAAAAGTTTTTTAATTCATCTGAAAATAATCTTTGAAAAATGAAATTTGATGAAATAAAATGTCTTTAACTAGAACTAAACTGGTTCCTGCTGGCCCGGGTTCTGTTGATTCTGTTGGTTCTATTGGTTTTGTTGGTTCTGTTGGTTCTGTTTGTTCTGTTGGTTTTGTTGGTTCTATTGGTTTTGTTGGTTTTGTTGGTTCTGTTGGTTCTGTTGGTTTTGTTGGTTCTGTTGGTTTTGTTGGTTCTGTTGGTTTTGTTGGTTCTGTTGGTTTTGTTGGTTCTGTTGGTTTTGTTGGTTCTGTTGGTTTTGTTGG